TATATCTGCAATTTCATACATTTTGCTTAAAAGCACTATCTTCTGAATGGCCACTGTTAAAAACATTAAAAATGTAAAGGAGACATTATGTAAACACATTTTGACATAAACACGTGTGCCTACATTCCACGCACGTGCCTGTACGCTACACGCGATTGAGTATACGTTATCATATCACCTTGACCAAATTTGGGAGGGGAATTCAAACAATCGTGTTTCTTGTTGCTCAGACCGAACGGAAATCAATATTTATGTTATGTAGTCCATATCTTGAATCAGTGTGCATTCACAACATCTTAACAGTTACGTCCTTACTAGAGACTGACGTGCTATTAATCTTTGTAAAATACATCAGACAGTCAGATCTTGTTACGTATCCCGGCGGTTTCAATACAGTTTCAAACACAGAGGGGCGGTGGGGTAGCCTAGGGGTTAAAGCGTTCGCTCGTCATGCCGAAGACCCGGGTTCGATTCCCCTATGGGTACAATGTGTGAAGCCCATTTCTGGTGTTCCCCGCCGTGATATTTTCTGGAATATTGCTAAAAGCGGCGTAAAACCATACTCACTCACTCATTGCTAAGTGTCCAAGAGTGGAACCTGCGTGTTCGTGTAAGTGAATGTTGTTGTTCCTGGTCTGTACGTTATCACATCTGTGTTGGGAAAACCAGGGGTTGATAGCATGAGCAAGCTCTAGAATTTTTAACTTCAATCTATTCCTATGGATGTCAAAAGGCATTTGGGTCTAATTGTGAAGGAATTATGTGATTCGTACACTATGTACACCATGATTCGTACTGTTTTACAATGTTTCTGATTTGCATCACTTCGGGTATTCTTCCCACATTAAGCAGACAGACCGAGATTAACTGGTAAACTGTTCAAAGAGGCGTTAGGGGCGGTGGGGTAGCCTAGTGGTTAAAGCGTTGTCTCGTCACGCTGCAGACCCGGGTTCGATTCCCCACATGGGTGCAATGTGTGAAGCCCATTTCTGGTGTTCCCCGCCGTGATATTGCTGGAATATTGCTAAAAGCGGCGTAAAACCATACTCACTCACTCACTCAAACCGTCGTTAAGCCTATTCAATTCAGTTACTTACAAACCCGTGAAGATCACGGTTAGAGCTGGTCATCATCAAGCCATGCTTGTCATAAGAGGCGACTAACGGGATCGGGTGGTCAGACTCGCTGACTTGGTTGGCACATGTCATCGTATCCCAGTTGCGTAGATCGATGCTCACGATGTTGATCACTGAATTGATTCCAGACCCACTCACTCACCGCAGAAAAGGAAGGCTAGAAACGAGACAGAGACGTTTTTAGACGAATTATTAATATTTATTTTTTCATGGCAACGGGAAAAATTACTTTCAACAAAAGACTTCTTCGAGAACACTGCAACCGTACCACGTCGTTGTCACGTGTCCTTCAAGGTCATATGTGATTGGTTCACGGGCGAAAACCTGAAGCCATACCGCAGACTAAAAGACCAGAAGGAAGGACTTCTAAATAGATTTGACAGGAACAGAAATACACCTCGTAATTTTCTAATATACCACATGACAATTCCATCAAATTTGTCTCGTTGGTAAAAATGGTCGATACTTCCAGAGAGCAGGGACAGTGCCTTGGCGAGGTCTGTTTCGGCAGACACTTGAGACTAATTATTCTCTGACGTTTCATATATAATGGTCAGTAAGAGAACAGGGGCGCTGGGGTAGCCAAGTAAGTAAAGCGTTCGCTCGTCACGCCGAAGACCCGGGTTCGCTTCCCAATGTGGGTACAATGTGTGAAGCCCATTTCTGGTGTTCCCCGCCGTGATGATGCTATAATTCCGGTAGTTGTGAACAAGATAGGCGTAGTGATAAGATACGGTCTAGAGACGGTTACGGTAATTGGAATACTTTGTTTTTTTGTGTTTTGTAATTACCATTTAACTTTTTGCCTTTGTCCATCTTGTAACTTTTGTTTCTATGATTCAATATTATAGCTCATGTGCAACCGTTGGTGGTGTTTTTGAGTTAAATAAAGAACATCAGCTGTGTTAGGTTACCTGCTCTCGTGTCCCCTAAATCCCATCATCTTACTAGTGGGGCGGTAGGGTAGCCTAGTGGTTAAAGCATCCGCTCGTCACGCCGAAGGCCCGGATTCGATTCCCCACATGGGTACAATTTGTGAAGCCCATTTCTGGTGTCCCCCGCTGTGATATTGCTGGAATATTGCTAAAAACGGCGTAAAACCATACTCAGACAGTCAGTCAGTCATCTTACTAGTTTTACTATTTCACGTGGCTAGCACTTAACCCAACACAAACTGGCGACAGCTGTGACACTGACATGGTGTTGATGTCAAATTACATACATTATTGCATCTTTATATTAATTTTCTGAGCTAGTGCTAAAGGGTCGCATAATATTTGAAGAAAAAAGTGTTTCCTACTAGTATTTTAATCCCGTAAGAGAAGCTTAAATCGCAGAGGTCACTTTTTACTTCAACCCTATGGCATAATGTATTAGTGGACCCGTTTTACAATGCGAAAAGATGTGTTAAAGTTTTCGTGAAATTCGAACCAATTTGAAAATCATAATCTCATTAAAGCAAGAAAAAACCAACAAAGTTTTAATCGCAAATGTCGAATTTTTCTTCAATACCGTGGTATGAAGAACTTGTTTACAATACGAGAGGAGTGTCTCAAAATGTTTTAAAATGTTCGTAAAATTCGAATTACAATCTGATTTGTGTTCTAAAATCCACAAAGCCTTAATCGCATAGGTCGCATTTTGCTTCAACCCCTTTATATAAAGAACTTGTTTTACAATATGAGAATCTGTACTTTACTGAGAAAGTGTAATCCAATGTGTTACATTTGACCACTTTCTCAATGACACAGTGTATTCAATACGAGAGGTAGGTGTCAAGATGTTATAAAATCTTCGTGAAATTCGAACCGAATTTTTTAAAAAAAACAATCTCATTTACTTATTGAAATCCACAAAGTGAAAAAGTCCTTTGAGGCGCCTTGATGGCGTCTTATTGTAGGTTTGCGTCCTAAATAAGTGATCACAGGACGCCAGTGATTGTGTCTAAGGACGATGCCAGCTTTTAAGGGATATTATCAGAGGCCGTGTCGCCTTATCGTCTTCATGTGAGAATAGCCTCCCTCTGAACCATGAGGTATTTCTGTTAAATACATTGATTTTTGGTACGATGGAAATGTAAAGACTGCTGTAGACACTTTTGTTGTAATATTTTGAGTATGTTTTGGTCAGTAAATGGTCGAGTTTGGACCAGGTAATCTAGTGACTGACACCAGGATGCATCGGTCAACATGAATTATCCCTGTGATGTGGTTTGGTTTGGTTGTTGTTTAACGCTGCACTCAGCAATATTCCAGCTATATGGCGGCGGTCTGTAAATAATCGAGTCTGAACCAGATAATCCAGTGTTCAACACCATGAGCATAGATCGACGCAATTAGGATACGATGACATGTGTCAACCAAGTCAGCGAGCCTGACCACCCGATCCCGTTAGTCGCCTCTTACGACAAGCATGGGTTACTGAAGATCAATTCTGACCCGGATCTTCACGGGTTCATATATGTGTTCATATTATTGCATTGCTTGTAGACAAGTTTAATGCCATAGTAAAGCATATAAGAAATATCCCTCATGCTCTTTAATGAATATCGATTTATATATTTACAAGTCAATATCGGCGTTTTAGCAAGATGGAGGATACGACGGGATTTTTAGGAAGGTGTATTTGTGTAAGAAACAAATGAGCCTGGGTCCCGATACACAAAATGTTCGTAAGCCTATAAACTTTAGAGTTACGACAAGCCGTAACGTTACGAACTCTTTATGGAGCGAGACCCTTGTCCAGTTCTAACACATTCTCCACGTGTTAGCAATATGGAGGATATGAAACGATTTTAGAAAGACGTATTTAGACAAGAAACATATGAGTCTAGTCCGGTTCTGGGCCTAGATATTCGGAGCTCTCTTAACACTAAGATAGTCGTAAGTCTATGTTAATGGATGGCACTTACGACTATCTTAGCGCTAAGAGAGCTTCGAAATCTAGGCCCAGAACCGGAGCGCTACGACATTCGTAAACCTAAGATAAACTTGAGAGTTACAACAGGTCGTAAGTTCGTAACGTTACGATCGCTTTGTGGATCTGGTACACCCACGTTAGTGCAGTGTAAGTGATCTCACTTCTTTACTATACGATGGAGCCATCCACCTCGTAGCATCGTATAGGAAGTGACATCATTAATCCTAATACTCCCGTCGCAAACCGTCAGTATCCTTCCCAGAATATTTATTGCTCATGGATTTATTTTCATTGAACGTCTTTTTCACGTCAAGTGCTTCTCGCCGGCTCAATAAGAGGCTACACTGGCGGACAGTTCCTGGGGATTTAACACAGTAGAATGGACGTGTCATAATCGAAGATACTTTGCTTATCGAACGGCGAAAGACTGAAGACAATTAACGTGTTAATACAGTGAAGATTCGTAAAATCGAACACCATTAACTTGATGTGTCGTTTAAGATGATGTTGCCGGTCAATTTCTAATTCTAATTATAATTCTGTTTTCTGTTATGATGTGTGTGTGTGTGTGTGTGTGTGTGCGTGCGTGCGTGCGTGCGTGCGTGCGTGCGTGCGTGTGTGTGTTCTTTCTATTATTTTGCTATATTTGTATTTTATCAGGTACGAGCATGTTCTTTCCAAGATTCCAAAGAGTGGCAAAAGTAATGTAAATTTAGGTTATAACATTCAAAGCTTTAGTAACGTTTTCATAATGTTTTATCAGTAGACATGTGGAGGACGTTTTGTGGCAACAGTAACTAAAATCATATCCTTTCTGACATGTGGTCTCGGGTTTGTTTAGATGAACACACTTGCATGTTGTCTGGCGACTGATCTGGCGCTCATTTTTTCGTGACCATTTCGTAATGATTATTTGAATAAAAAATGTGACATCTGTTGTTTCAGTTGACGGGACGAGCACACGTCCAAAATAGCCAGTCAAGCTGGGCATAATGGCCACTCAACAACATACGACTGGCCCGGACGCTGACGTGAGGGACAACGTAAACACAACCGGACATGACGTCATGAACATCTCTGACGTCATATACACTCCGGAGTACATACTTTTCTTCATCGCAATCGGCGTGCTGTCTGTGGTTGGAATAGCCGGAAATATTCCCGTGCTCATTGTGTATTTCCGCCGGAAAGATAAAAAAACCTCAAATACTTTCATAAAAATTCTGTCGGTGATAGACTTATTAGTGTGTGTCTTCATAATGCCATATACTCTGGTTTATGAACTTCATGTGGTCTATTCAGATGTTTTCTGCAGATTATTCGAATTTATGAGACACTTTGCCATCATATCATCGAATGTAACATTGGTTGCCATAGCAGCGGAAAGATATTTTGCAGTTTGTCATTTCGCAAAACGGTTCACTGTTAAGCAAGTGAATTGTGGAATGGTAGTTGTCGTGACAATAAGTGGTATCCTAGCAACACCTGCAGTCCTGATCTTTACCCTTGTAACAGTCGATGACATCAGAGATATTGAGTGCCAATTTCCACATCCCGGAAATGCGACCCACTTCTGCCACTTTACGACAACAGTTACCGGCCCCCTCGTTGCGTATCTTTACCAGGGCCTCCTTATGCTGTCATTCTGCATCTCTCTCATACTCATTGTCATTTTCTACGCCTTAATTTATTCCAGGCTGTGGAACAGAACAAAGTTGAGAACAGAACAGAATCCCCAAATTGCGACAATCGAAAATGAGAACAAAAGTGACACTTCCGGGCCCAAAATCACATTAAGTTCACGCCTTGCTGACAATGGTTCGAACGTTGTTAAAGGAGAACGTTCGGAAGTTTCAAAACAACAAGAGACGCAGCTTGACAAAAATTGCAAATCTGCCAACGGAAGTACCTTTGGGACTACAGTGAGACATAAAAGGATTTGGCTTCATTATCGAACCGCGAAAATGTTGTTTTTGTGTACTGTGATATACCTGGTTACCTGGATGCCATTTTGGTTTGACATATTTGGCGTCACGCAGTTTCTTCTTCTAAGATATATGTTTTTCCTCGGCAACGCCACAAACCCCCTCGTTTACGGCATCGTTAATTCGCACGTGAGGCATTCATTCCTGAGACTCCTTCACGAGTGTAAACCAAGTGTTAGTTTTGTGTTTAAGGTAGACCTGCAGAAACCATCTGTTTCCACAAACAATGAACGCTCAATCGATTAAAAGCACTTTACGTGTTTACAAAGTGTTAATTTGTTTGTATGGAATGTGTTTGTATAATTTGTGAAACGTGGAATCAGCCCTCTTTGTAATGATTTTCAATTTCCTGGGATTGTAGTATTCTCATTATTTCTTTGCGTTTTTACGTCGGGTTATGATTTTAGATTCAGAAAAACAACACTTTTAGCAGCCTACACACTCTGGAATTAAAACTGTTGATTAATGAGTGGGTGAAAAATTACCACTTTCATGAACGGGATGTATGGCGACACACTTTGAGGACGGATATTTTGTGTGTGTGTGTGTGTGTGTGTGTGTGTGTGTGTGTGTGTGTGTGTGTGTGTGTGCGTGCGTGCGTGCGTGCGTGTGTGCGTGTGTGTGCGTGTGTGCGTGTTATTGAGGCGCAGCTATCTCTTCCGCAAATGTACATGCATTGTCAATTTCTCAAAGCCTCTTTCTTTTTTCTCTGTTGGTTTAAAGAAGTTTTTTGTTTTCACCGCTATTTTACCTTTTACGCCTTAAAGAAACTGTTTCACCTTATTACCGACTTATTTTCTGATGTTGAAATTTCATGTTGTATTCACGACTTTACGTAATAAAATATGCAGAACATTTCTTTAAGAAGACTTGGTTTTCAGCATCTACATCAGACATTTCGCTACAGTAAAGAGAGGGCTGCACTTAATTTGTAGCCCGGTGCTTGATCTGAAAATATACTTTGTTGTGCATGTACTTCAGATACTTACCCGTGAAGATCCGGGATAAACAGTTGATCTTCAGTAACCCATGCTTATCGAAAGAGGCGACTAACGGGATCGGGTGGTCAGGCTCGCTGACTTTGTTGATACATGTCATCGGTTCCCCCAAACAACTATCATAATTTGGTTTAGTACTTTTAGTTTAAAAACAAAACCATTATGGAAATTATCGTTTACTTTAAACAGGATATATGCGCTTTTGGAAAACATGCATTTGGTTTTCCTCAAAAAGGTTACCACCTTTTCAAAAGTGAAAATTAGAAATGACTGTTATATGGTCACATGATTGTCATTTTTGACAAGTGAAATCTAGGTTTAATAGTCTTGTATAAGCACACTAGGAATTGTTATTTTGCTTTAAAAATCAGTGCCATCATATCTTTAACAATATATCCTTTAATTGTTAATACAAATCATTATGATATATCTAAACCAGTTACCAATTGAACCTTCTCTAAATATTGTTTGGTCTACCCAAGAATAAAAAGTAAGTATATATACACACACACACACTTTTTATTCTCGGTATATATAAATATATATATATATGTATGTATGAATGTATGTGTGTATATGTGTGTGTGTGTGTGTGTGTGTGTGTGTGTGTGTGTGTGTGTGTGTGTGTGTGTGTGTGTGTGTGTGTGTGTGTGTGTGTGTGTGTGTGTGTGTGTGTGTGTGTGTGTGTGTGTGTGTGTACCTGGAAACCTGGCCAAAGTAAGCTTCAGTCATTTGATTCAAGTCATCTTCACTGTCATAATCTACAAGAGTATATGAGAGGATTCCACTCCAGAGGGGCGGTGGGGGTAGCCTTGTAGTTAAAGCGTTCGCCCGTTTCGCGGAAGAATGAGTGAATTCCATTTTACGCCGCTTTTAGCAATATCGCGTCGGGGGACCCTAGCAATAGGCTTCACATATGGTACCCATGTGAGGAATCGAACCCAGGTCTTCGTCTAACACTTTAACCACAGGACTACCCCACCACCCCGTTCCGCCAAAGAATCGTGGGCGATTTCCCACCTGGTAGCAATGTGTGAAGCCCATTTCTGTTGTCGCACACTGATATTGCAGGAATAGTGCGTTAAGCGGCGTAAAACCATACTCACTCCAGACCACTTATCAAAAATAGAAAAATGTCAGGACCTTTGGCACTGAAATATTGTTCGAAGCGGCGTTAAACCAACACACTCACTTACAATAATACAAAATAGCAACCCGAAGTGGACTTTTCATACATTGTCATACAGAGATAAAGGCGACTCCCACACCATCATTATAAGATTCAAGAACCTACAAAGAAAGACATTCATTCATGCATTATCATCACTTTCACATCATATCGCATCGCATCGCATCGCATCGCATCGCATCGCATCACTTTTCATACTTCTGGATATCATTTATCACATAGTTTTGGTTGTTTGTTTTTTCTTTATCTCATAATACACAAAGGTATTATCTCGATAAGCTGTCCATTTTCCTCAAAAGGATTTAGGGTATTATCACAGTGCAGGATCCTCGTAACCAACGACGTATACGGTAAATCACAGTTATAACGAGTCAGTGAGTGAGTTTAGTTTTACGCCGCACTCAGCAATATTCCAGCTATATGGCGGCGGTCTGTAAATAATCGAGTCTGGATCAGACAATCCAATGATCAACACCATGTGCATCGATCTACGCAATTGGGATACAATGACATGTGTCAACCAAGTCAGCGAGCCTGACCACCCGATCCCGTTAGTCGCCTCTTATACGACAAGCATGGGTTACTGAAGGTTCATTCTAACCCGGATCTTCACGGGTGGGTTATAACGAACTCAAAGGAACTAATCAGTAGAATTCGTTATAACCATGTTCGTTACACTCATTTTGACTAAAATATACAGAAAGGGGCCAGGTCAGAAAACAGTTCGTCATATCCGTTTGTTATAATCGTGTTCGATAAAAACGTTGTTCTACCATGCATTCTGGTACACTACCGGAGACGAGTCAGCGATACCCGCAGTAAATGATATTTTTTGCACGTGACCGCTCTACCGCGATTGGCTTAGAACGTAATTTTCAGGATCGGATCCAGGTTTGGAAAGTACAAATTGAAAAGACAGTATGGGTGTTTCTTCTAAACCATACAGCGGCTTAATGTGTTCACCATACCTCCCAGAAGTGTAATATGAATCAGCGTGTACACCCATGTGATACAGTAATACATAAGTGTAATATGAATCAGCGTCTACACCCATGTGATACAGTAATGCATAAGTGTAATATGAATCAGCGTACATACACCCACGTGATACAGTAATACATAAGTGTAATATGAATCAGCGTACACACCCATGTGATACAGTAATACATAAGTGTAATATGAATCAGCGTCTACACCCATGTATACAGTAACACATGTGATACAGTAATACATACACCCATAAATTGTAATATGAATCAGCGTGTACACCCATGTGATACAGTAATACATAAGTGTAATATGAATCAGCGTGTACACCCATGTGATACAGTAATACATAAGTGTAATATGAATCAGCGTGTACACCGTACACCCACGTGATACAGTAATACATAAGTGTAATATGAATCAGCGTGTACACCCATGTGATACAGTAATACATGAAGTGTAATATGAATCAGCGTCTCTACACCCATGTATACAGCGGCTATACATGTGTAATATGAATCAGCGTATACCTCCCATGAAGTGTAATATGAATCAGCGTGTACACCCATGTGATACAGTAATACATAAGTGTAATATGAATCAGCGTGTACACCCATGTGATACAGTAATACATAAGTGTAATATGAATCAGCGTGTACACCCATGTGATACAGTAATACATAAGTGTAATATGAATCAGCGTGTACACCCATGTGATACAGTAATACATAAGTGTAATATGAATCAGCGTGTACACCCATGTGATACAGTAATACATAAGTGTAATATGAATCAGCGTGTACACCCATGTGATACAGTAATACATAAGTGTAATATGAATCAGCGTGTACACCCATGTGATACAGTAATACATAAGTGTAATATGAATCAGCGTGTACACCCATGTGATACAGTAATACATAAGTGTAATATGAATCAGCGTGTACACCCATGTGATACAGTAATACATAAGTGTAATATGAATCAGCGTGTACACCCATGTGATACAGTAATACATAAGTGTAATATGAATCAGCGTGATACACCCATACATGATACAGTAATACATATAGTGTAATATGAATCAGCGTGTACACCCATGTGATACAGTAATACATAAGTGTAATATGAATCAGCGTAATACATAAGTACACCCATGTGATACAGTAATACATAAGTGTAATATGAATCAGCGTGTACACCCATGTGATACAGTAATACATAAGTGTAATATGAATCAGCGTACACCCATGTGATACAGTACACCCATGTGATACAGTAATACATACACCCATGTGTAATATGAATCAGCGTGTACACCCATGTGATACAGTAATACATAAGTGTAATATGAATCAGCGTGTACACCCATGTGATACAGTAATACATAAGTGTAATATGAATCAGCGTGTACACCCATGTGATACAGTAATACATAAGTGTAATATGAATCAGCGTATACACCCATGTGATACAGTAATACATAAGTGTAATATGAATCAGCGTGTACACCCATGTGATACAGTAATACATAAGTGTAATATGAATCAGCGTGTACACCCATGTGATACAGTAATACATAAGTGTAATATGAATCAGCGTGTACACCCATGTGATACAGTAATACATAAGTGTAATATGAATCAGCGTGTACACCCATGTGATACAGTAATACATAAGTGTAATATGAATCAGCGTGTACACCCGTGATACAGTAATACATAAGTGTAATATGAATCAGCGTGTACACCCATGTGATACAGTAATACATAAGTGTAATATGAATCAGCGTGTACACCCATGTGTACAGTAATACATAAGTGTAATATGAATCAGCGTGTACACCCATGTGATACAGTAATACATAAGTGTAATATGAATCAGCGTGTACACCCATGTGATACAGTAATACATAAGTGTAATATGAATCAGCGTGTACACCCATGTGATACAGTAATACATAAGTGTAATATGAATCAGCGTGTACACCCATGTGATACAGTAATACATAAGTGTAATATGAATCAGCGTGTACACCCATGTGATACAGTAATACATAGTGTAATATGAATCAGCGTACACCCATGTG